AATACAAATGTCATTAACAACAATTAAACATCATTTTTATTTATAGTAATATTAAAAGTACAATTAGTTAAAGAGGCATTTTCAAAATTGAAACCGTGCTAAAATGTTCCCGACTCTTGATACGCATTGGTAATTGTTGATGATACTGATGGTCGAGAACAACTTTCAACAATCATTCCCGATGTTGGCGAATCATGAGGGTTTAAAATTTTTGAGCATTATCGTTCTTATTTCTTATTGAATCCTCTATATATCCTTCGGCAACCATGCTTGATTTCCAGTCCCCATGTCGTTTGAGGCATTCTAGATTTCCGCCTCCATCAATTAAAAGTGTTGCTGAAGTTCGTCGTAAAGAGTGACCCGTGTATGCGCTTGCATCGTTAAAATTTAAATAACTAGCTACTTTTTGGGCTACTGCGCTGATCGAATGTATTCCCATGACACTTCGGTAACACTTTCCATTTTGGTACTTGATAAAAAATCGGTTTTCTGTGAAATTTTCAGGCCGCAGTAATGCATACTTTTTATACAGTTTAATGTAGTTTTGACCAATTATCGTAAAAGATCTAATTTGTCGTGTTTTACTGTCTGTGATTTTGATAATTATTACATTTTCTTTATCCTCAATGTCCACAGTCTTCATGTTTACCATTTCGTCGCATCGACAGGCGCCGGTAACCCCAATTAACAAAACAATCTGAAATATTTTTATAATTTAGTAGAGTATACTACATACTTTGCAATATAATTTTTTTATCTTTAATCCTAAATACAACTTATCTGGCGCTTCAAACAAAAATGTATCAAACTCGTCTTTAGTGAAAGTTTAGACTTCCTTGCAGTATATCCTTCGCTCGTTTTTTTCAGAAAAGCACGTAACTTTAAAAATTTGCTTATATCCACATTTTTTTTAATAACTAACTCGGATTTTATCATAGAGTATCGTGACCACATTGTAGAAGATTTCCATTTATTTTCATTTTCCATTATATTAAAATATGCCAGTAAAACGTTTTCGGTAACTTGCCGTACTCCTCTTGTATCGCACCACTCTTGAAAGTGCTTGTACCCTAACCGATACTTTATTCCGGACTTGGAGGGCCCCAAACGTGCTACTGCATCATTAGCCGCGGACTCAATTTCGTTTAGGTTTTCCATTTCGCACTAAATTTGCGCTTGCGGTTGCAACAACAATAAGCTGTCTTTAATAATTGCAAACAACTGTAACCAGGGAGACGCAAATTCGCAGAACGCAGAGACTTAATTATTTTAATTTCTAACATCTAGACGACTTTGATAGTTGTCACAGTTAATTTCGAGTAAAAATAGCGTATGAATTGTACTATTTATGGTTGAAAATTGCTAAGTTTGAAGAAAAAATAGTATACTTTATTCGGCAAAGAAGCGACTTTTCTTGACTTGCCCTCTATTACGGGCGCGTCAAGAAAAGTCATGCTTCTCCGCCTCATAAAGTAATATACTATTACTTACTTTTTTTCCTTATTGAGCACTTTTTCTAATTTTTTTCTCCACGCTTTATCAACATGCCAGGTGCAATACAATCTAAAAATATGTAAATTTATAACTTATTAAACAGTTACTTTTTTTAATGTTACCTAAATTCAGCTGGCTGCATAACCTGCACCCACGATTTATAATAAAAATCTGCCATATCGGACATAAAGACTTTTCGTTTAATAACCTGGCCAACTCCTTCTTTAATGCATTAAAAAAATATTTATACCAATGGAATCACTACGATTTGATATCAAAAAAGCTGTTTGGTAGCCCTTTCGCAAATCATCCAGTACTAGGATGGTATGTAGTTCAAACCCATAGGCATTTACACCATGGGTCCCATCAATACGAATGCAATCCTCCCCAAATCGTAACAATAGGTCTTTCTGTCCATCTGCCATTCTAATCAAGAAAAAATCTTCATATTTTATTTCAGGATCTTCTTTGCGTATAGTTTCTTGTGGTTTATATAAAAGCAAACATTCTGAACTTTTTATTTCACTAACCTATGCATTAACACTTGCTGCATCATTTTCATGGCGAACTAATGAATTGCATAAATTGAAACACCTCTCAATATTATACAGATCTTTTTTTAGTAATAGATGCAGTCGTTCCAAATGAGAGTTAAGCGGCCCCTAGACAGTCAATATTATTGTGCCATATATTGTGGTGGATAATCACAGGTGGATGAAAGAATGGTTCAAAAAAGAAATAAGTACACTCATGAAAATTTATTAAATGATTTAAGAATTAGCGAACCAATTGATTTTCAAAAGTTTCTTCGACTAGATAGTACATTCTTTGATGAACTATTAAGAATGGTTATATCTGGAATTCAAAAAGGGATACTATTATGCGAGATGCTATTTCACCAAGTCAGCGTCTATCAATAACATTACGTTACCTAGTTACTGGAAATACCTTTGAAGATTTAAAATTCATAAGTGCTGTCACCACAATCCATAGGAATAATTGAGGCGTTTATTTTAGAAACTACATAAGTCCAAAATTTACGAAAACGCGATTGTGGCTTCATCATATAAAAGACACTGAACTCTACCACTCCAAAGATTCGTTTCTCCCAAAAACATCACATATCCCCCGATATGTCGCACTAAAATATCGGTATTTCTGTAAAAACGACATATGTCCTATTCGTTTTTTTTTTAAACTACATAGGTCCATGTATTATACTAATGTTGTTTTTAAAAGAAACTACCCCCAGAGAACAGTCCACTGGTAAGTACCGAACGATTTCGGCACGCCTTGCCGGCAGGTTCTCATTCTCATCGGTCTGTTCTTCCGGTGTAGACAGGCAGAGACGTAGCGAATTTAGTAGCCAAAGTAAAAGGCGAGAAGCATATTAATCATAAAGGAAGACTAGTAGAAAACCGCCTTGTTGGAAGAAACTGCAGGTAAATAATAGCTTTAACTTAAATATGTTTCTTACAATATATTTTTTGTTATAAGTAGATGTAAACGGCTTAAGTGTGATGAACATATTAGTAGGAAAATAAAAGTGGTTTTATTCCAACAGTTTTATAATATGAACAATAAAAATGGACAAAATAACTATAAAACCAGTAAATAGAAATGTGAGTACTGAAAAACCACATGCTGCAGGATATGCATTCAAAATAAGATATGAAGGAAAGGAAATGAAGGTCTGTAAAGAGGCATTTTTGGGCATTCATGGTATAACTGTTGGTAGACTTGGACGCATACAAAACCATTTGGTCACACGAGGTAAGGCGCCAAGCGATTTAAGAACAAAAGATAAGAAAAAGTCAACTGATTATTCAGATACCGTAATTCATTTAATAAAGGAACATATTAAGTCTTCTAAACCAAGGCAATCCCATTACTCACGAAGCAAAAACCCACTTCGTTTTTAACTGCCGGAAGGTTTAACCATAATAGAGACATGAATTCCATGTTTCGATCTGAATACCTGATCAATATCCCTTATAAAATCTACTAGAAAATATTCACATCCAATTTTAATATAAAGTTTGGCTTCCCACGATCCGATACATGTGCTCAGTGTGATTAGTTCCAACAAAAACTTACTTCCGAAGGAATCAACGATACAGAAAAAGTCCAAATAACAATGGAAAAGGAGATTCATTTAAGAAAGGCTGATGCATTTTTTACAAAGACGATACAAGACAGGCTATGGCTGCAGAAATCGATTGTATTAGCTTTGATTTCATGCAGAATCTAGCTCTTCCCTATATTCCATCAAATCCAGTTTTTTATTCACGTTAATATTGTGGTACCATGTATTCGGTATACACAATCTTGGTACAGATGAGGCATTTATTTACACCTACACTGAAGGACAAGCGAAAAAAGGTGCCAACGATGTGTGTTCCATGTTGTTACATTTTATTAACAATAATAACTTTACGACCACTAATCTTGTACTAATAAGTGATGGATATCCTGGGCAAAACAAGAATGATGTTATGTTGCACTTTTTATTTATTCTTGTCCATGTACTTTTTGACACATAAGTACCTGTTTCCGGTTCGGGGCCATTCCTATCTCCTAAACGACCAGGACTTCATACTGATCGGAAAAAAGAAACGTCATTTGGAAAGAGTAGACACACCTGAAGAGTGGGACAAAGTGATATTGTCAGCACGAAGTAAACCCTCCAAATTTTCCTTAGTCAAAATGTACCTACCCCTCAAAGTTTTTTGACATAAAGCTAGCCACCGATCAATATTTTCTGAAAACAGCTAAACCACCAATTTCTCTAAAACTAGTGCGCATGTTCGAAATTACTGCAAACTGCTGTAGTGATGTTGAAGGATACCTACAATGGTTCATGAAGATCCTCTATTGTCAGAAGTAAAGTAGCAATAACTAGTTTAATAAAACTCACACCAGTTATTTGCAAGCTGCGTCAATTACATCTGCTAAACTGAAAAATTTAAGGGATCTCTTACCGTATTTAGGAAATGCAAAAAATCGAAGCTTTTATGAAGGCATTTTTACACGACAAAATCTGCAGAGCTATGATGCCCTAGAAATCGATGAAGATGACAACAGTAGTAGTTGTGATGAATCCTAATTATTTTTTGTAACTTAAAATTCAATAAAAACTTAAATTTATAACATTACTTTTATTTTATTTTTTCTTTCTTTTAAAAACAACATAAGTCCAAGATTTTTGTTTTTTTTTTATTAATATCATGAGATTTTGCCTAAGAAGTAATAGTCAGAAAACCTTTATTTAACTTATATTCGTCACTGTACAATTTAAAAGTTTGTCGAAATATGGTAATAAACTTGAGAGAGCGTTTTTTTATTTTCTACAAAATTAAAATTTTGGACTTATGTTGTTTCTAAAATAAACACCTCAATTGTAATGGAAACTTGCCAAGCCATAATAAACTGCCTAAAGGATTACATAAAGGTAAATAAGATTATTTAAAACACAAAACAAAATCTATTTTAAATATCTGTTTACTGTACATTTTTATTGAAAAGTTGAAAAATAGTTCAAACAGTAGGGGACTCTGACTTATTCATAGTCTGTTGTGTGATTAGTACTTGAGGTTGCACACTGTCAAAATAGACAGAACTTGGTTGCATGTTACTATATGGAGTAGATGTAGGAGAACAAGTAATAATTTGCACAGAATTTCTATGCAGTGTTCCCATTTGACCTTTAAATAATATGTCGTTAATGGCCTTTTTCGCAAAAATTTGTTGCTGAGGCGTCATTTTTTCAAGTTCTACTGCCCAAGCAGAAGCAATTTTTTCATAATCAGTTTGTGGTTGTTCAAGGTGTTTACAGGCTAAAGCTATTAATTGTTTGGACTCAAGTTTTCTTGCTTTCTCTTTTGGTGGTCTCTTCTTTGTGTGCTGCTGTAAAGAAAAAAACATATATTAAATTTGTGTTTAGTAGTAATAAGTTTGTATATTAACTATTTAACTTGTAATTGTAGTTGCTAACAACAGAAGCAGAATAGAAAGCTATTTCCAATGGATTCAATGTTCAATGGAATTTTCCTAATTGTCTAGGAGCTGTAGATGGAAAACATGTGGCAATCAAAAAACCTCCACATACAGGCTCATATTATTACAATTACAAAAAGTTTTTTAGTATGGTAATGATGGCAGTTGTAAATAGCAATTATGAATTTAGACAGAGGCGTTTTGAATTATATTGCATTTGGAAAAGCATGATCAGATAATTCACTTGAAATCTCAGAACCTGATGTGTTAAAAATAGCCAAAGAATACTACCCTTTATCTTTGTTAGAGATGACGCTTTTACACTGACACAAAATTTCATGAAACCTCACAGCCAAACAGGATTAACGATGGAAAAAATAATTTTTAATTATCAACTTGGTAGTGCCCATCGCATTGTGAAAAATGCATTTGAAACATTAGTATCGAAATTCAGTGTATTTCAACGACCTTGCATTATCGCGTGAGAAAGCTCAAATCATTGTCTTATCATATATAAATATGATAAGACAATGATAAATAATAACTGGACAATAAATATCCCTTTGTACAACTAATTCAAGAAATTCAGCCCCTGTAGCAAAAAGTGTCAGAGAAAATTACTGTGATTTTTCGAGGGACAGGTTTCATGGCAACATAAATTTGCTTAAAATGAAAACTTGAATTATTAAACTTTATATACTTACACTGATTGTTAAAATAGTATTTGAATTATCACTGTCCACGTCGTTTATATTATTATCTGCTTCTTCCTTATTATTATCCCCCTCCTGTATAGTACTTTGTGAAGCACTAGGTTCGTCCTGATCCACGAGAAATTGCATTTCGCTAAAATACCATAATGTTAGCTGAACTACATTGTCTGTCGATGCACCAATTTTTTCTGAGTCCCTTATACAATGTAATTCTTTTCTAAAGTTAGTGCACAACGAATTAAATTTTTTCACTAACTGCAACTTATCAGCATCTGGATAATATTCTCTGTATTTTTGGAGCAATTGATCAGGCTGTTAATTTTTTTTATTTATTATTATAATCTTTAGTCTTGACATTCCACAAAGCCGGAAACGACCGATACACATCGATGCATTCTATAATATACTTTGTTTCTTCCCATTTTCCCTTTGCAGACATATTTTTGCCATACTGCGATGTTTCCAACAAGAGTGTTAAAACGAAACTGAACCAATATGGAGCAATATTACTCACAAACACCGCAACATTTATAATATTGCTCAATAAAAATCAAAATCATGTTGATTGACACAATATATTGTCAAACCATTCAATGTGATCTACAGATGATCAATATATCGTCGTCCTAATATGTAAACTGCGTAACTCCATTTGTCCAAATTTTACAGGAGACACAAAAAACTATCTCCAGCGACGTAAATATATTATTGTTGTCCAATTTTTTTTGTACTGGTTTTAGATTGTTTCTTTTTTATAACTGTTTAGTCAAATTATAGTATTTTTTGTTTATTTTTAATTTTTTTGGAGATACGCAGTTTTCTTAGTAATAAACTTGGAGATACGAATTTTTCATGTAAATTAAAAGTACATACAGAACATCAGAAAGTTTACTGCATAACGCAAAATTGTAAATAATAATAGTTTCATTAGTAAAGGTTTTAATTCAAAACCAACAAGCTGGTTTTTTGGTTCTACTTGACACCATCATATGGAAGAGAAATGAAAACAATGTCCGACAAATTAGGTTTATTTGAGAAATAAAAAAGATCAAAATAAACGTTATAAACTAAAATAAACAAAAAATTTTTCGAAGTGTTTATTTGTGCGGTAACTCATCATAAAATGAGTGATAGTCAGGCAGCAAACTTGTTTTTAAAGCTTGAAGATGATTGTATTTTTCCAAAGAAATTTTTATTCTTTCGCTGTAGAGGGATGGTAAATTGTCAAATGAAATGATTCCAATCTTGATCTGAATGTCTCAACTTGTAAAAAATTCCATCTCTTGTGTATTTGAGTTGTTTCAGGTCCGTTACATGGGGGTCACCAACTGTTTTTCCAGGTCTGATTGAACTATGGTATTTTAAAGAGTCCATTTTTTTTTTAAAATGTATGGTTCAAATATTTCACGGAACAAGGGTCTTTGCAGGCAGTTTCACAAACAGAAATATAATCTGCTGGTACATTAATGTTCCTCTTCTTTAATTTTCTCTCAATTGTTGAATGAACAGAATCAACTTCCATTTGAGTATGTCCCTTTAAAAGAAATTTCTGAATAATTTCTATATTTTTTTCACGGGCAAGATTTAACAAGCTGTTTGCCAGAATGCAGTTTCTATTTTGGTAATTGCAACCATTGCTATACAATTTTATGGTGTTATATCGTACAGACGTTTTTAATAAGTTAAAAAAAATGAAATAGACAATTATTGTTGAAAACTGATTGGCAGTCAAGTTCCCTTCACATTCATTCCACAAAAAGCAAAACCCTTTGTTATCTTTATTATTATAAAGTGTAAAATTATGTACTGCCAACTTCATTTTGTAATACATGGACGAAACATTCGATTTAGGTGACAATAATACAGACTGCAAGTCCATAGAAAACACTGTTTGTTTGGATTTAGTATCTTTGTCTAATTCATCTCTAGCTTCTCTTTTCAAGGTCATATGCAAATCAAATTGATCTTGTTCAATGTTTTTACTTTCGTATCCAATGCAGACATCGCAGCGATCTTTTTTAGGAGAATATAATGATAAATTTTGCTCATCAAACATTTTTGAGAACGTTGCATACGATAGAGCAGATGCATTGTTCTCTTTGCAACTATCCTCATAAAATTTATATAACTGCGATTTCGATTCCCAGACTGGCTCCAAGTATAGTTTAGATGAACTGGAACGGCAGTAATGAAATTCTAATTTAAAACGGTTATCTAACAATTGCCAAAGAAATTTCTTTTGATTTTCATACGGATCCTTTTTGCTGCTACTCGCATTTAAATTAATATTATGTAGAATATTATCATCTTGATGTGCCCAACCTTTAATAACCCATTCTCCTACCGCCAGAGTATTGAGAAACATTTTCTTACAAACACGTACTCTTCCGTTCTCCGTTTTAAAGTAAAATTCGGTGGAAAATTGTCTTCTAGATGTTTCTTCAACGCCTCTCCTTCTTTTTATGGAAATAACGTCTAATGAGCTCTTTACAAATATTCTTTTCTCTTTCCAAGTAAGTTCCCAAAATATTCTAAATATTGTTTCACGGTGCAGTTCCGTTAACAATCCGCAATTTATCTTACTATTTACTTTACTCAGTTTACAATAACATCTATTTTTCATCATTTTCGGTTGTTTTTTAATATCATAGTTCCATTTATTATCAATCCGTTTTCTACCAAAATAACTTTTTCCGCTTTCCCTTTTTTTTTCGATTAATACGGTCACTCCAATTCTGTTCATTCACTTGACATCTTTTAACTCTTTTTCTCTTATTAATTACATTTTTGCCCTCATCTTCAGTATCCAATTCTGACTGTCTGTTATCAGATTCGGCTAATTCATTTTCGTTTTCTATAATTTCTTGCTCACATCTGCTTTCATTGATATTTACCGGAACATCTGTAACGCTCGTCAAATCTTGAATTATCTCGTCATTAACTGGTAACTCTTCGTTTGACGGAATGAATACTATTGGAATATTTTCCAAATTATACAAAGTAGGTGAATTATCTGGTAAATCTGCGTTTAATGCCAACTGTAAACATTGCATTCCCCTTGAATTGGAATTCATTGTTCAAACCTAAAAAAAGGCTTTACAGTTTTATCTTTCATAATTTTATCTATTTAAACAATTTACGAAAAAATAAGTCCATATGTTTTATTAATTTGATTTTTTCTGAGATATTATACATTCAATAACTTCTGTTATAAGTAACCTAAGAAATTTATCGACTTAACAGAAAACTAAACATCCGATACGTAAAAGAATAAATCTAGAGGAACACATTTTTTTATTTACACATCTTTTTAGATTAAATCTTGGCATATCTATAAAGGGAATATTGTATTTTGTCAAAATTGAAATAATAATAACAAGATATTCGATTTCCGAAGACTTCGTAAATCCACATATTTATACCAATATGACTAATGCGAATACTACGTATCTCCCATTTTAAAAGATAGGATGGTAAAACGGAAATATTTTATAGATACACATATCACTAATATTTGTATACTGTTTAATAAGTATTTAATACTACTTACCACCAACTTTTTCTTGAAAATATTTCAAAATAACGGTAAACAATGCTTTCAAAACAGTAATAGGTAAGTCTTGTGGTATATTCTATGACAAACTAGGGAGCTACATATTTTTCGTACTACAGTAATAACTCATTTTCAGTGAATTATGGAGTTACACAGTTTACAGATTAGGACGACAATATTGTGCAATATAAATTATTGTCCAATATATTGACCGTCTAGGGGCCGCGTTAGACACAGAATTGCTTATTTCATCCAAAATAATTTTAAACAGAATTTTTGAAGCTATCTTTGCTGCCACATTTTGTTTTTGTACTTGCCTTAGAAATAGATGGCCTAAATCTTTGCTCTTGTTTGTGCCCCACATGAGTTGGACAAAAGTTGACAATATAGTTTTCATTGTCTATAAATTTAACATTAATTCTTGCAGGACAATAACCATTAATTTTATTTGAGCCTTGAGTTTTAAGTTTTCTGATATTCTGCCCTTTCTTTTTATATATACCTAAAAAAATTAAAATATATATCAAATAACCAGAATAATTTTTTTAAATTAAAAATTAAAAACAAAAAAAAAGAGGAACTCACCTGACCTATGACAATTATAGTTTGTTGTGGTACAGTTACCGATTTTCTTTGAACCATACATTTTTACAAATGATGAGAATGTTTCTTCTTCCACCTTGCATTTCCAAGATTTAAAATCTTCAAAAGTATCGAATACTAGGTAATTATCTTCAATGTTAATGAAATGGTCACTCCTGTAGTGCGAAATTACATTTTCTCGACTACAATTGGTATTTTCACACAACGCACACTTTAATTTTGTTAAGGCATTACTATGAGTTTTTTTATGAGAAAAGAATTTTTGTAAATTATGAAAACTTTCAGAGCAGCAGGAACATACATAAGTTTTCTTGTAAACAGGTGCTATTTCGTCTAATTTATCTAAAAAGAAAAAACATTTTATATGTAATTATTGTGTATGGCTATGATTGACATAGTGTATTGGTATTGGTTATACGTTATACCTACCTGAATGCTGCCTTTTTACATGAAGTCTGAGATTGCCAAAATTTGCAAACTTTTTATTACATCCTAAGCAAGGCACAGTAGATTTACTTTGTTTAACGTTCTTTGGCGCTAGTATATGTAGCATATCTAAAAAATTGATTGTACATACTGCATTAAATTAGAGGATAAATTAGAGAATAAAATGACATATTACCTGGATGTTTTCTTTTTACATGTGCGGTTAAGTTTGAAGGTTTCGAAAAGTTTATGTTACACTTAGTACAACGATTCATTTTCTACTCACACAAAAAAAAACACAAGAGTAAATTATAAATAAAAAACTATAGGGGCATTTCGCAATTGCGGGCACTCTAACCTAACCAAATATATTTCACAGACCACTAATAACTGTGAAGTAGGACTAGGAGATCTCGAGATCTGTGACTGTGAGTTGTGACTGTGACTGACTGTGATTGTGATATATTTTCCTCAAGGCACTACCACTACAGTGTTGCCGTATTTATTTTAGTAAAATATGTATATGAATGCTACAAATATAAATTTCATGGAGCAAAAAGACAATAGAGGGAATGTAAAGGTAGTGGGGGCAAACATATTGTTAGACAGGAAGTGCAATCTTTAGAGGCCACATTAAACAAGGAAAGAGAGTCTCTCTCCTTGTTTGACATCAAATTTAGTTGGGTTATGTTATTGTTTGTCCCAAATGTCACATGAAATCTTATTTATATTGAAGTTTTTTAACAATTGTGTCGCATTTTAGACTCTTATCACTAATAATTAATTAAAACTTTCTCGTCTAAGACACATTCTGAAAAATATTATATAGCTACTGTTGATAAGTGTCGGGAAATTTAAATTTGGCGCATTCGCACTTCCGGATATGTCCGCCATCAGAGGCCACTTTTTTGGTCTCCTTTTCATAAGGATTATAAGTTCTTTTTTTGAAGTTTGGTGATTATCTGACAGAGGTCAGCTGACCGCCTTCTCTTCTTCTGTTTTTTTTTTGCCAGCCTGTCTTTCAGCGTCGACGTTCACTCGAGCATCACAGTCAATCCATGCGTGGCAGGCGGTTAAGTCAGAGAACTACGAACATAGAGAAGCGATATTACTTTGAAGTTTCGTGGCCAAGTCGCCAATGACATTTTTTAACAACCAGAAAACTAATAGTCAGTGGGCATATCACACAATATAAATTATTAAATAAAATTATGTACAATATTTATGTTGACTTTCAATAAATATGAAATATTGTACTGAAAAAAATAGTTACATGCAGGGCCGACTTTTGTTGACATTCTTAATGGTGTAATTATTTTTGATTTACAAAAGGTTGCAAATACATCGTACAACGCAAAGTAATGGTGAAAATCGTATTGATGGAACCTCTTCTTCTTCTTCTTCGGCTTTTCCCATTATGTTTTCGTCCTCCACAGCACTCTATTCTCCCAGTCAGCTTCTCTGAGGTCTCTTCTTCTTCTTCTTGTTCTTTTTTGGGGCTATGTCCTAGACAATTTACCCAGATTACTTGGGGGTAGACACTTTTTGTGTTGTTTCAGCAATCAGTGTCCACCTACACTTATATTCTTCCTTTGTTTGTTTTGGATTATTCTACATGTATACTTGTGTTGGTATTTTTCTTCTTTATATTCTTCACAGGCTAAAATTTTAGTAAGAACACAACAAAGGTATAAACTTTTCTCGCTCGGGGTAGCCTCCAAGCTTTGCACACACCAGAAATGCTACCGACGTATAAAGTAGAAGCACCCAGGACTGAAAGAAGGAAGATCATAGTCTATAATTTAATATTGCAGGTAGAAATAAAGTTGCATAAGGTGTTTATTGTATTTTCATTAATATTAGTGAGGATTGTGCAAATATTTATGGGAGTGGGAAGTTTAGTTTTAGCTAATTCGGCATACAAGTCGAAATGTGGGTTTTGGTTTAAGCGACATTCTAATAAAATATGGTTTAATCCTCTCACTTGGCCACATTCGCAATAAGGATCATCTTTGACTCCAATTCTAAATAGATGAAGAGGGGATGAGCAATGACCTGTTCTCATACGGATGATTGTAGTTAAACGTCTCCTACTGATATATGCGAATTTATTGAACCATGGTAGTGTGTGGATTCGGTTATTAATTTTGACATAGAATGAATTACTTGTGCCATATCCTTCGTACCATTCAACTGACCAGTTAGACCAAATCTCTCTTTTTAAGTAGGGTGTAAAATTTGAAAACTGTAGCTTGATATTGGCATATATTGAACGACCTATATTGGCAAGTTGGTCAGCCTTGTAGTTTCCAGTAATACCAGTGTGTCCTGGGATCCATGCTAGTAAGATTTTGATATTATTGTTCCTTGCTAGGATAATTCCTCTTTTCGTTAAATATGATATATGTTCTGTGTCTTTAGAAAACCCTGTTGTTTTATTTTTTGTAGTGCACTTTTGGAGTCAGAAAAGATAATGGCTTCTGTGATATTTTGTTCTAGTATAATTTGGACTGCATGATTGATCGCGATTACCTCTGCTGTACGTATTTGAGTATGACTGAGTATGAGTTTAGATGAAAATGAATAGTTTATGTCTGGGGAAAAAACTCCAAAACCCGCCTTTCCCATTGTGTCCGTTGAGCCGTCTGTAAAGAATTTTTTGTATGAATGGAATCTTTTAACTAAGTTCACAAAATTCATAAGATTGAATTCATTTTTGTAGTGTTTTCATTCAGAATTCCTAATGGTTGAAGTTGTAGTTCCAGTTCATACTCATGGCAAGGAAGAAGTTTGCTGGAATATAGGTTCTGCAAATAAGGTTGGATTTTTCTAAGAGTTATTATCAATATGGGTTTTTCCTTATTTCCCTAGTATTTATTATTCATATTACAAAATGCTTCTAATTCAACGATTGATTGAATGACAGGGTTGTTTTTAACACTTAGATTTTTTAGCAAAAATTTTGTTGTGAGCCATTCTCTTTTGTATTTTAATGGCAGTTCTCCAGATTCTGATAACAAGACTTGGATTGGAGTTGACTTCATGCATCCTGTGATACTCCGGATACTTTGATAATGCATCTGATCTAGTTCCTTCAATATATATTTAGGGCATGTAGATAGGAATTGGCCCCCATAGTTCAAATGAGTTAGGATAAGTGCTTCATGGATCAGTTCTAATATTTTTGGGTCACTGCCCCACCATGTTCCACACAAGGCACGTATTACATTCAGTGCTTTACCTATTTTGACTTCCAGCTGGTTAATGTGTGCGTTCCATTTAAGGTTCTTCTGTAAAACCATTCCTAGGTATTTAATTTTATCTACCCACTCTATATGTTGTCTCTTATAACTGATGTTTCCAGGCATTATTTTGGTATTACCCTTTGTAAACAAGATAGCTTTAGATTTGCCCACAGAGATGTTCAAATTATGATTGTCCAGCCAGGCCTCAAGATTGGTTAAATATTTGTTTATTTTTGATATCATATTTTTAACGTTCACTCCCTTGACTAGAATTACAAAATCGTCAGCATACTGTATGACTTTGGCATTTTTTGAGAACACATCGTGTAATGAGTAGGTATATATGTTGAATAGCATTGGACTTAATGGTGATCCTTGTGTGAGTCCAGTTCTAGTGGTATTTGGGCCATGTACTAATCCAGAGTTATCTTTGACAAACAGTTCTCTGCATTTTAAAAAGTCATATATGAGGTTAGCTAAATCATATGGTATATCCAAATTTATTAATGTAGAGTACAGTTTGTCAATACTGTCACCGCGGGGTAATTAATAAGGGTCTAAGCACCTTCTGTACCACCGTGTGCTCTGTAGAGGGCTTCGAAAACATCAACGATAGCTCCTCTACTTAAGTCCATTTTCAAGGTATGGACTCGAAAATGTTTTCTTCTGGTATCTTGCCTTGAAAAAGGCAAGATATTTCTTACATGACAAAGGTTAAGTCGAAATAAAAATACCAGGTTGCAGTAGAATAACATCTCAGCCACAGAGTATGGGAAAATCTAAAAACAAGAAAGCAGAGCCCCGAGAGCACTAAGCTCTCAGAGAGCCCGTGAAGGACTCACCTATTGACCTGAAAATCGCCTATTTTTATACTTTCTGTAGTAGCGATTAGGGATTTCCAGGTCAGGGAGGGGCCAACGTGAAAAATAAGGGGCGGGGCGATGCGTCTCGAACGTGAACTAGTCGCGTCCGAGAACAATACTAACATTATCATATGCTGAATGGATATCCAAGAATATTCCTATTGTACATTCATTATTGCTAAATGATTTTTGGACTTCAGATGTCAAAAAGGATAGACATTCTAAACATCCTTTACCTCTTCTAAAACCTAGCTGCAATGGTCTGAGGATTTTCTTATTTTCTATAAGCCATTCCAACCTATTTTTGATCATTGATTCTAAAACTTTACCTACACAAGAGGTGAGGGCAATAGGCCGATAGTTAGTTGCAGTAAGTTTATCTTTCATAGGTTTTAGAATTGGAATTATTAATGACTGTTTCCATTCAATCGGGATGGTCCCTATTCTTAAGCATTTGTTAAAAATTTGTAACAATAGTAATGATCCTGAATGAGGTAGATTTTTAATCATAGAGTATGAAATTAGGTCAAGTCCAGTAGCAGATTCCTTTTTAGAGTTGATTATGTATTTGTATTCATTAAAGATAAAAGGGGGACTTATATTGTTAGTTTGTATACTTTGTTGATGTAAATGTATACTGGGGGGAGCCAAGGAATTCAGTATCTCTTGTACCATATTAGGATTAGAAAGGAAGTTAATTGGGCTATTACCATATCCAGCTATTTTCCTAACTTTATCCTATATTGTCTTGATTGGCGAGTTTCTATTAAGGCCTTCTGCAAATTTCCTAAAATTATTTTTCCTTTTTTCTTTAAGGAATCTTCTAGCTATAGCACATTTGTTTTTTACTATTAAATAATTTTGTAAGTTGGGTGTTGATTGGAATTGCCTTGTTGCCTTAATTCTGTCTTTAATGACTTCAGCGCAAGATTCGTCCCACCATGGGATATGATACTGTTTATTGACATTTGACTTGTACAATGGGATGGACAACTGTGCAGCCTCATTTATTAAGTCCGCAAATGATTGGTAGTTCTCACGTGGAAATGATGTAAATGATGACTCTAATATTGAGGTATATTGGTCCCAATTGGCTTTTTTGAAGTTTCTGTTATTCCTAGGTGGCATGTGGATGGTAATGTTTTGGACACCAATTTTGCACGTTGTGGGTAGATGATCACTAAATCCTAAGTCAGGAATTATTTGCCATGATGATCTGGTAGCAATATCCTTAGATGTTATTGTTAGGTCCACTGCTGATGATCTTTTTGGTGGTGGTGCTATTCTGGTATATGACCCATCATTTAAAAAACTAGTTCAAGCTC